TCTCCATTCATTACGGGGTCCCAGTTAGTGCCAGCCTCATTGTTCTGATTCTTTTTCCACTTGATTGTCAAGTCTTTTGGAAGAAAATCCTCAACTGTACACACCAGGGCCTGAGAGTCTCCCCTTGGCACTGATACCAAAGTTACCTTTGGAGAGAATGACGGTCCTAACCAGAAAGAGCAGAAATAAAGATACATGTTGTAATTGACATCAGACTTATTCATTTTATAATTTTAAGCCAGCAAAATGAAGGTAATCATGAGAAACATTAATAGTAACAATAAAAACAAGATGAACAAGTTGATCCATGTAGATTCTAGAGAGCCATAAGTTAAAAATCGCATACTTTCCACATTCAGACTGTTGGGGCCTCCTTGGTGAGACACAGAACAATTAAAAGATTTCCATGAATTCCAGTCAGTCTTTGATACTTTGATCAAGCTGACTCCTGTATATTTGTTGTTTTTCTCTGCTAGAGGATATTGATCAGAAGTCAGGCTGGTTCCACTGGCATCAGTCCATTGGAAAGCAAGACCCTTTGGGAAGAAGTCGTGTGCAAGACAACCAACAGTGATTTTATCTTCAGACCCAGAGTTGCATTGAACCAAAGGGAACAGAGTTGGTGATTCCGTTTTATCTATGAAAGAAGAAACATGGAAATATAAATAGAGGTCAATTAAAGATGATCAATAGGTTGTCTAAAAGCTGTTAAATATTAATAGAGAGAAAAAGCTGCTCCATTGTTGTCTTTTTAATCATGTAATCCCAAAAACAATAAACAGAATCATTATTTTAATTTAAATTCTGCTGCCTAAACATAAAATGATATTGATCCTTTCCCAGCAGCAACAGCATGTTTATCTAAATCATCTTTTAATAACTCACGGTTTACTTAATAATAATTCATTTTCATTTCAATGAATAATGCATTTTAATAAATACCTATTGATTAGTTTTGTTTATCTTTTCAGCACACAGTTAAACAAACTGGATCTGAGTTCAAACAATGGCAACAGTATTTAACTATGCAGTCTTTTGTGAAATTTAGTCACTTTTTTCCCCAAATTTCTGATTCTCATTAGTTAAATGGAAAGTTCTCTGTGGGTAGAAGTTGCGTGCAAAAAAACAACAGTGATTTGATCTCCAGTTGTAGAGTTGCACTGAACCAAAAGAAACAGAGTCTGTGCAGTTTTGTTCAAAGTGGAGATTTAGTTTAAAATCCACGTTCACATGAATTAGATGATCCATTTATCACTTAAAAGCAACTGATTGGTGGAATTAATAGTCAGAACATCAGAATAATTTAATTATTGCAAAATTTTTTTGAAAATGTCATTTTTTTTCTATTTTTACATTTAAAACTCAGGGTCTAATATTAAAAATATCTTAACAATCTGTGCGCCCGGATTGCTCAGTCGGTAGAGCTGGCACCCCACATACGTAGTTGCTGCAGCGGCCCGGGTTCGAATCCGACCTGTAGTCCTTCGCTGCCTGTCATCCCCTCTCTCTCTACCCCCCTTTCCTGTCAATCTTCAGCTATGTCTATCAAATAAAGGCATGGAAAGGCCCAATATATATATATATATATATATATAATCTTGAAAAGACTATAACTACAAAATCATAATTGTAAATATTAAAAACACCACTCATTGTAGGAGGATTGAGCATTTTAAAAACTGAAATCTAAATCATTCTTTACCATTTTTCAGGAACAAAGCAAACAAAGTGGTATAGCTTATAAAGCTTTAAAATATATTTTAAATACTGACTAGTACAATGATTTCATCATGAAAATCATAGAATTAGTTTTTTAAATAAAAATGATATGAGTAAAATTAATCTTTAAATGTTATCGTTTGTTTTGTCTTTTTCTTTGGCAAATAAATAACTCTCAGGGTACCGGTGTATGGAGGAGGAAGACAGAATCTGATATAAATTTACAAAAGTGAACAAAAGGAACAATTACACACTGAGTGTAAACTAGAGAGAGACAGTTTAGTTTAAAAAAAAATTCAAATATTTTTTAAACAGTAACTATGAGAGCGGTCGCCATATCAGATTTTCACTAGACAATTGTCATGGCCAAAATAATTTACATAATAACGATATTATCATGACATCTATAGAAAATCTGAGAGAAAAAAACTATAGCTCAAATTCATTTTTAACTTTTGTTGGTTATTTTGTCTCTTTTTGTGGCCAATAAATTACACTCAAAGTACCAGTGTACGGAGGAGGTAGAGATAATCTGATCTACTAAAGTGAATAAAAAGAACAGTTACACTGAGGGTAAACCAGAGAGAGAGAATGGAAAGAAACAGAAGTAATTTAAGAGGCGCTGGATTATTTATCATACATATATTATTAACGTGGTATCATGATTTTATTAATTAAATGTAACAGTTATCATCAATACTGGTGTATCACTACACTCATAACTTATAAAGAAATAATAGAGTGTTAAATGATAATATTGATAATACAAGAAAAGAAATTGTGGGGAAGAATTACAAATCACTATATATGAAATGATTCCTCCAAAAAACTAAAATAGATGATTAACAATTGAACCTACAGTGAAAATACTGTCCTTTAAAGGACACTTTCTCCTGTGGTATTTTAAAAAGAAACTACACACTATATAAAAGTGTGTAGTTAATTATGTCCCTGTTCAGTGTTTAATTAAAATGCATACTGAACCTGTATTTAAACACACTAATAAAATGTAATTTGCTATGTTTTAATTGACTTCCTATATAAAAATGCAGGTACAATAAGGTATATAATTAATATCCACAGTTATAAATTATTATTTGTGATGATGTGAATAAAAGCATGCAAACATTCATCAGCTGCAATTACAATCCAACTGAATGAAATGTAAGATAAAAACACACCCACTCCTGCATTAAGTGATAATAACAAAGAATTATTTTTTAAAAGGCTTTCTAAAAAACAGCTGCATTAAAAACATCTGTCGGCTCTGTTTTCTAGTTACTGTCCACCATCAGTATAAACCTGAATAACACCATTAGTTAAATTGTTTTGCCAATAATCACAATAATCACATTTCAAAAAGTAAAATAAAAATATGATGTTTAAAAGTACTTACCTGAAGATACTGTGACCTGAGTCCCACGACCCCAGTAGTCGAAATAATCACAGTGCTACATCTCCACTCACTGCTTGAACAAAAACCTGATGGAACAGAAAAAGGTGTTAAAACCTCATTAAGTGTTTTAAAATACACAGAAATCCTGGTCAGTATGACACCCTGGTGTCCTGCTGTAAACATGTGCTTTGTATTGATTCTTAATCAATTATTACATTTCAATTTTACTTGACGGTAACATTTACATCTGTGCGCTAACTGTGACTTTTAACTACTAATTAACTAATGTTTATTACTAAATTTAACTTATTAAATTGGATAACACCAGTTGTTACGCTCAAGTTGGAACCTAGAAATGTTTTGTCCTGTCCATTTTCTTCCCATCACAAGAATGTTAAGAGTGGTAAGATTATAGCTCTTAGGTTTTTGTATGGATCTAGATCACCTGTGACGCCCCAGCCCCCACCGCCATCACAGTGATAAACCCCTAAAAATACAAAAACCAAAATGCTTGCACCTGGAGACTGCCTGGGGACCGCTGTAACTGTTCAGGCCATGGGAAAAGAATAATACAAAATTAATTCAATTAACAAAATAGTTTAGGTTATAAATTGGTGAATTTGCATTTTGCATGCATACTCATAGTTAAAATAAAGTTTATCATTTGTTTATATGTCATTTTTAAAAACTATTTTATATTTCACTTCTCTGATGAAACACCCCAAACCACTAAATGGTGGCTTACCAATAATTTTATTTCGAGACTAACTGAATAATGTATATAAATATATAGTAAGTATAATAACTCTGTGGCATCAAATAATCCTGCGAATATTGTTTATTTTTATGCTATTCTTTAAACAAGAACAGCAAGTTATTTTGTTAAATATTTTTGTAGCTTTTTAAAGTGGGAAAAAGAGAAACAAATATGATAAAATCAATGACATAAGTGTTGTTATAATGTTTGAAAAAAAAAAAAATTAATACAAATACATAATAACATTCAACCAATAAAAAGCAATGAGAATGTTTAAAATCAAAAACAAAAACGTTTCAATTGCCAGCCATCAGTCTGGCAGTCCTACAGGGAGTCCAAGAAAAGCCTAAAGAAATGTATTTGTTATATCTCTTTCATCTGTCTAAATCTGTTTTTGAAAATGCTGATTACAGGAAAACATTTGCCCAAATCTTTTTTTATTTTTTTATTTTTACAAGGCACCAGAAAGAGATTGAACAGCATGATAGAAGTTCCACTGAGATCCAGGAATCAATAGCCTGAATTCCAAAAATAAAAGTGTAAAACAAAAAAGCTTCCATTTAATAATGTAAAAGGAGGCTCTGAAAAGGAACTCTATAATGGTAGAATATGAAGCCCATAACTCAAGGAAATAAATTAATGCATTTTTAGCTGAATTTTTTACGCGGTGGTTTTTAAAAATGTACTGTATCTAATTATAATTAATTCTTACCTTTGTAGTTTGTGAGTTGAACTCCCTCCAGGAAAGACCTCGGCAAAGGTTGGGAGTCAGGTCATCAGGGAGATTTAGCTGCCACCTGGTCTGGTTGCAAGACTTAATGATAGAGCTGGATGCCAGTCAGCCAGTGGTCTCTGGCACCAGCTCTGCCTAATGCTGAAAACCTTACTGTTTATGGTAAATGTCTTTATGGTTTCCAGCTGCGCAACGGTGACAAATGCTGGCTTGCCTTGATACCCATTAGCGGATATAAAGAATCCCCTGTGGGCAG